TACAGAATAAGATGTTTTTATCTACAGACGCTGCAGGTCGCCTTCCATGGAGTCCGCCATGTTTCTACAGTAGCCCAGAGCGGACAAACCAAACACAGGCTGTAGGTCGGGTCTTTTGCGTTGTTTGCGGCCATCGTAGTTTCTCCGACACACTTCACAGCCCGTTCTCATTCCCAGGTCGTCAAATAAAGACACCACTGGTGTTAAGTTAGTTGCAATCTGAAACTTCATCACTAGATGCCGCTAAATCCTATGCACTTAAACTCGATTGAGAAAACAATCTCATCACAAGGTCTATTTAGTAGCTGTTCTGGAGCTTTCGATCACATCAAATGATCTTTATTGGTAGTTGAAGTTGCCCAGTTGTCATGGAACTGTAGACTTGAAGAACTTCTCATCCACATTACCTCAAAATCTTTAAAAACCCATTTTACAAGTTGTGACACTTCCAGCTGATGAAGATCATGTGATATGATCAAAAGCGCTGGAACAGCATTTAAATAGACCATGTGACAAGAAGATAGAATCAATGGCCTCCGGTTGCAAAATAAGGACGAGTTGAGTTTCATTGTAGTTTTTACTGATTTGTGTGGCTCTTGTGTTCTGATCTTGAGTATTTGAGGAAACTGCGGTTTCACTGTAAATGTATGAAAATTATTTATTTCTGCACAACATTTGTATGAACAGTTCGAGGTCGAGATTGTGAGATATTTTGGAAGCCAAATATTTGTTTCTTTTATTTTTTGTTTCATACTGGAATGAAAATCTTTCATCCTACCTTGAGCATTCAGAGATCGCCATAAAAACATTTGGTCCTTGAGCTCTCCATGGTAACAGAGGTAGACATGACTTTGATGTTTAGAGAGTAGGACCTGTGTTTACAGTGTCACCACAGGCTGTTTCTCAGTTTGACAGGCCTGAAATCTGGAAAAAGAAAACTGTAGCACCTTCAAGACTGCGTGAGTGATTAGAGGTCACACCCTAAAATGAAAGACATGTTAGTGGTTTGCTTACTGAGGGACTGACGGGACTCACAAAGCCACTGTCAATGACCAAAATATGACCACAAAACTTAGAGATCAAGCAAATGAGAAACAGAAATGGCTGATTTCTTTGTCCCACAAACATCCTTGCCGTGATTGAGTCACAGAAGTAAGAAAGACTAAACGTCCGCCACTGCGCTTTTATCGATTTGGCTCAGATACTGT